TGTTGCAGATTTATTAGGTACACGGTTAAGTGCCACTTAGCTTTGCAGAACTGTCATCGCCAGCACTTTATGAATGGGATCATTCACTGACAAGCTACTTAAATACTAAAAGGGGGAAAAATTTACTGCTCCAGGTCAATGAAGAAGCCAAGATCAACTAAAACTCAGCTGTGTTTCTCCTTGAATACAGGAATATGATGAAGGTGCTCAGAGTTTTCTTTAATGTATTCTCATCCTTAATTTATCCTCATACGTCAAACAGAATGTCACTCCTTTTTGCAGTGCTACTTTTCCTAAAATAATGCCTTTTCTTTTTCTGACAGCTTGCAAGAGCCCAGAGATCTAAAAATATGGCTAAACAGGCAGTCACACACCTGCTAATTAAGGCTATGGATAAGCAGTGACCACTCATGCAGGCACTGACAACCAATTCCAAGCAGGGAAGTTTTTTTTTTTGATAAAAAGCGAGGAGATTTCTGTGGATCAAATTCAGTCCTGGATGTGGGAGCCTGGGAGCTGGTCTCTCTTCATAATATTGAAAAAAATCTTACTGTGTTTTAATATTTCTGAGCCAGAGATGCCACAAATGCAGAGTGGTGTGTTCTTTCTTTGGGCAGTAGATTCACAAGAATTCCTCCCTGTCAGGGTGGGCAGGCCCTGGCACAGGGTGCCCAGAGAAGCTGTGGCTGCCCCTGGATCCCTGGAAGTGTCCAGCGTCAGGCTGGATGGAGCTCAAAGCCACCTAGTCTAGTGTCCCTGCCCATGGAAGAGGGGTGAAATTAACTTTAATTCCCTTCCAAAACAAACCATTCTGGGATTCTATATCAGAGCTGGACTTTTCCCTTGGTCGCCTGTTCCACCCATGGAGCCTGGCATTAATTCTGTGGGTCAGGATGGTTGTTACAAGTGGTTCAGTTTCATAGCCCAGAGAAGTCCTGCAGGAAGCTGTACTTGCTGTATTTTCTTCATTCCTCTTGCAAGGGAACTGTCTCCCTTTTTTTTTTAGCCATGTAATGTATATAATCTTCAATCGATGGTGCAAGGTTGTCCGTTTGCTTATATGATTTCATGTGTTTCATGATGTCCTTCACATCCTAATCTTTCGGAGTTGTCTTTAATTCCTTGGGAGTGTGCAAATGTATATTTCTGTGTGTGTGTGTGTGTGTGAGTGTGTGTGTGTGTGTGTGTGTGTGATTCTAGGTGTGATTCTAGGTTTGCAGAGGGGCTGGATGAGCTGCAGGAGCACAGCCGGTGGGGGCTGTGGGTTTTGAGTGAGGGACCAAGATGGCCTCAGGTTTTCCAGCTCTCATGTCTCTGATGCTCCACCTCTCTGAACTGTTTTGTTCCCAAGTGAAATCTTCCTCTCCACCTGATCCCGGGATATTGCCAGGCTTACAGCTTGCTGTACATGGGGGGATCAAGTCGTATCGTAAAGTTGACAAAAGAGACAATTTTATATATTTTTCTCCATCAGTTCCACATTGCTGTGGAAGCTTTTTGACTAATCCACTCAGATTTGGAGTTAATCCTCCTGCACTTGGAATATTTGAGTGTAGGCATTTGAGAGATTTAAATGGACACCACTAACCCCTATGGGGTTTCATTTCTTAACATACCTTAGAAACTCTGTCTGTGGAGGAAGATGAGATACAAAGGCTTCTCTCTCTCTCTTTTTTTTTTTTTTTTT